TGTAAGCGACAGGAGCAGCACAAAGTCACAATTGACTATATAAGGTCAATGATTGCCGAAGTTGACCAAAGCCAGACGCCAGTAGTTCTCTATGAATGCAGAATGACTAAAAACGCAGTGTCCGAACCAGTACGCACAGGAAACATTCTAAACATTGCAAATGAAACGACGTCAACGTCAAGTGGCAAATGTGGGATGTATGGATACACTTTAAGGGTGAGGTTTCTCTGAAAAACAAAGTCAGCCTCCTCAGCTACGCTGCAAACAAACGCTGAACATGGCGGAGTCGAAATGCAGGTCATATTACAAGATTTGGCTTATGCTTCAACGCATTGGACATTGGAGAAGGTAGAAATTTGCATTGATGCGGACGTGTAATAGAGAGTAAAGTGAAAGCAGCTTTCCAAGACTCTGAAGCAGCTGGCCTGCCCTCCTCTCTGCTCAAATGCAAGGCTAAGCGCCTGCAGAGGATTGAGCATGTAATGTATAGTTGAAGAGCTCACAATTCTCCGCAGCTGCTTAGAAGTCGTAAGACATCAATGTTGTAAATGTACTTGTGAGTGTACGTCTTAGCAGCAGTATCAAGGGCAGCATCTCAAGATCTCGAAAGAAGTTGGTTCAAATCTCAAGATCTCAAGTGGTGGGTGAATGCATTTCACCCAACTGATGTGACAATCTCAAAGTTCAGTGGTAAACAAACAACTCAGTCGTTCCTCATCCTCTACGGTGTATTCTACGGGAACATCGCCACCCTCAAACGATGCGCCTGAGCTGCTCAGCGCGATTGTTACGGCAGCCCAGGTGCGTGCTGAGCAGAAGAGGCACCAGGAAAACGCAAGTTTCCCCAAAAATCTACAGTAGCACAAACATAGCAGCGAACTTCAGAGTTTCGCATGGTTCATCATGATTCCATAAAATCTTCGCAAGCCTGTACGCAGCTGTAGAAGCTGGGCCAACCCGGACCTCGATTCAGCTGTAGAAGATGATGTTTGATGGCAGTCTGATGGGATCTGATGGGGATAGTCGTGCAATTCTTCAGAACAACTGCGAAGTTTCCTGTGTCCTCTTACTGCATCTTTTATTCCAGGAAATCCACTTCTGCCAACATCACAGACTACTATATAATCTCAATACCCCAAAACAGCTCGATCCACGTCAATGTGTTCGTTAAAACCAAGCTGGGTCTAGCAAAGTCATTTCATCAAATGTTTAAATGTGAAGCAAACAAAAGCATGCTGTCTGACTCCCGCAGACAGCCAAGTTGTCTAGAGTCTAGGGTCTCTGCGCCATTTCTGTATAGGACGTCAAATCCTGTCAATGCATAGGAAGGTGAAATGGGCAGGGAGCCACACAAAACCTGGATTAGTTCAAACATGTGAACCGTTTCGCATAGTTTCGATGGATATACGAGTAAACTCTCTTGATGTGGTACAATAGCCTTGTGAAAGCCTGGGAGGTCGTTTCTTGCCAGTGCTCGCAAATAAGCATGTTGTCTGTCGGAATCCACCCCTATTGGCAACCATGGCCACACCCAAAACGTGAGCAACCGACTCCAGGTACAAACGACAGTATAGACGAAGCCACGAGCACCAGCAAAGCTGTTGTTGGGACCATTCCTGCAGTTTGGACCTACAATATCTAATTTTAGCTGGGTAAGTCTGCCAAAATGAACGCCTTCTTCGTGCCCACCAGCTTACCTCCAATCTGCTCTTCAGTACCATCAAGATACTTCTCAAAGTCCAAAACAGTGAGTACCTGCTCAACAGAATTAAGTAGAATTCTTTCTTGCTCACGAAGGTCAGCGCGAATGCTGTGGAGTGTATTTCTCCGACATTGCTCAGGCGCAGGAATAGTCAGCAGTTTACTTGTGCATCTTGTACTATTTGTGCTGGCAAAATAAACTCTGTTTTTTGGCACAGAACAAAAAGCAATTGAGATCAAACGACCAAATCAAATGACTGGAAACACTCACTATGTGTGCACAGTCTGTGCACAGTATGCAGAAAGTTAGAAAAGTTCCGCTCCACGAAGCCCTGGTCAACTAGTAGCGTTCGGACGCTATTAAGTGAAGGCCATCGCAAGTAGGTTGGAGGCCATCGCAACTAGTAACAAGAAGCTACTAGGAAGCCCTGGTCACATCATCAAGCAAAGCAAATTTCATCTCATAGTCGGAGACCTTGGGCACAGCAACTATCACCGCTGCTTGATAGGAACGTATTGAAGACATGCACTTCTTTCACATATGTTATATGATGAATCTGACTGAAGCTGGATCACTGTAGAAAGTTGCTGAGGCATGGACGGTGTTTGCCGACAAAGATGGCGATGCGTTCACCTACCCAGCTTGCCGTGGCTGTTTGCTAGAGTAGGCCTGATATGGCCTGATGCAATCAAAGGAAACAAGGGTCCAAGGCATCCAACGGAAACCAATATGCTCTCTGAAGCTACTAGTAGCTCCTGGCAATACTACTAGGAGCAAAAAGCTACTAGTAACAAAAAGCATCGATACTAGTAGCAAGAAGCTACTAGTAGCTCCTGGCATTAGTAACAAAAGGCATCGCTACTGGTAGCAAGAAGCTACTAGTAGCTCCTGGCATTACTACCAGGAGCAAGAAGCTACTAGTAACAAAAGGTATCCCCACTAGTAGCAAGAAGCTACTAGTAGCTCCTGGCATTCCTACTAGGAGCAAGAAGCTACTACAGTAGTAACAACAGGAATCGCTACTAGTAGCAAGAAGCTACTAGTAGCTCCTGGCATTACTACTTGGAGCAAGAAGCTACTAGTAACTACTACATATTACTATTAGGAGCAAGAAGCTACTAGTAGCTCCTGGCATTACTACTAGGAGCAAGAAGCTACTAGTATCCAAAGGCATCGCTACTAGGCATCGCTACTAGTAGCAAGAAGCTACTAACAACTCCTGGCATTACTACTAGGAGCAAGAAGCTACTAGTAACATAAGGCATCGTTACTAGTAGCAAGAAGCTACTAGTAGCTCCTGGAACTACTACTAGGAGCAAGAAGCTACTAGTAACAAAAAGCATCGCTACTGGTAGCAAGAAGCTACTAGTAGCTCCTGGCATTGCTACAAGGAGCAAGAAGCTACTAGTAACAAAAGGAATCGCTACTAGTAGCAAGAACCTACTAGTAGCTCCTGGCATTGCTACTAGGAGCAAGAAGATACTAGTATCAAAAGGAATCGCTACTAGGAACAAGAAGCTACTAGTAACAAAAGGCATCGCTACTAATAGCAAGAAGCTACTAGTAGCTCCTGGCATTACTAGGAGCAAGAAGCTACTAGTAACAGAAGGCATCGCTACTAGTAGCAAGAAGCTCCTAGTAGCTGATGGCATTACTACTAGGAGCAAGCTACTAGTAACAAAAGCCATCGCTACTAGTAGCAAGAAGCTACTAGTCGCTCATGGCATTGCTACTAGGAACAAGAAGCTACTAGTAGCTCATGGCATTACTACAGTACTAGGAACAAGAAGCTACTAGTAACAAAATCATCGCTACTAGGAACAAGAAGCTACTAGTAACAAAAGGCATCGCTACTAGTAGCAAGAAGCTACTAGTAGCTCCTGGCATTACTTCTAGGAGCAAGAAGCTACTAGTAACAGAAGGCATCGCTACTAGTAGCAAAAAGCTACTAGTAGCTCCTGGCAACACTACTAGGAGAAAAAAGCTACTAGTAACAAAAGGACTCGCTACTAGTAGCAAGAAGCTACTAGTAGCTCCTGGCATTACTACT